TAATATAGAGCCCCGAATATAGAGTCTCTCATTGTGGGAGAGATGCCTTTAGAGCCCCAAATATTCCATCGGAGCTCTAAATGGGGCTCTATAAACCCTTTTTAGAGCCCCAACCATTGGGGATGGCCTAACAAAGAGACTTTTAACTTCTTATAAATTACATTTAATTTATCGGGCCACGTCGTGCTGGCCCATTGAATAAAATCATTTATTCCAGCACGGCCCAAAACCTAAATCCACATTGAAACAGACTGTGCCCGTGCTCGGGCAGTGCCCGTACTCGGGCCCAAATACCAACCTATTTAATTTGAATTGTTTTTACTTGATTTTTTCTTTCCAACTTATGCTGAGGTACAAAAACTGTATTTTGGTCTTTGAGATATACTTCTAACAACATTTGTCAAACTCTATTGATTCTTAGAGCATCTCCAAGGGAGATGTCAAATATCAAACATCAAATTTAAATTTGATGGCTGACGTGGCAATTTGACATCTTACACAGCTTTACACTCCACCCGATATGTCAAATTAAATTATTATTTTATTACATTTTAGTGTTGATTTATTTTTAATTAAAAAGAATAGAAAATAATAAATAATAAAATATTCATTTCACATCTTGCTTTTGGGATGTCAAAAATAACATCTTAATCTTCAGCCTTCATTCCACATCAGCTTTGACACATCGGTTGGAGTGTGTGAAATATTATTTCTAGCTGTTAAATGTCTATATGGCACTTTTGACATATCGATTGGAGATGCTCTTACACTACTTACTGGCAGAAAAACAAAAAAAGTAAAAAATAACATGGGGTTTAGTAAAAGCAAAATGAAAAAGTCAAAAGCTTTTATTGTTTTTAATTTTCAAAATATTTTATCATTAGCTTTTATTGTATATCAATCATTTGACAGTTTTCACATGTTAGTCATTTCCCATGTCAAATCTGATACTTACGTTTTTTGGAATTAAAGCAATTACCACCATAATAACCAAATAAAACAAATTAATATTAATAGTCATTTTTCCGCAAAATTGGGAAAATTATCGAGTCCAACTAATCATCCTTCCAACCAAACAAACCTCCCCACACATGCAGTTAATCAAGCAAGAAGAATTTTGAATTCTCAGTCTCACACTCGTGCAAGGAAATTCACTATTATACTCAATATAAGAACTCAAATTATAAAAATACTCTATATAAAATAGACTTCATAAACACATCCAAAGCCCATTTACAACATAACAAAGAGACTTTTAATTTCTTATAAATTACAAAACTGCAATCAATTTTTTAAAACAAACCCAACATCAAAACCTCATAAAAAAAACCCAAAATACTCAATAGGGTATCAAAGTAATTTAATAATCAAAATTAAATTCAATAGGGTCAGTTATCATTTTTTGGGTTTGTTTATAGAAATTAAATGATGTAAGGTTTATCTATATTATTAGTGCTAAAAATGGGTATATGATTAAATATCTCATCATTAATTTGGTACATATATGTTCTTCTCTTCTCTCCAAGACTAGTATTTGTCAATTTGGTAGTATATATAATTTAATTCAACTCAAACATGAAAAAGGAAAAAAACCCTATTCATGATTAAGAACATGGAAGACTATGTTTATAGTCTTCTTGAATTTGGTGCTTTGCTATTTGTAACTTTTTTGGGTTTTGTGGTACCAAACATATTTAGTAACATGTGCCGGGCCAATTCGGGTAAAGTTAACTCAGGCTACGACCCTCAAGTTCTAAATGGCTAGGTTTATTTTTTTTTAACCATGTTTTCAAATTTTGTCCAATTTTTTATTTTTTTGGGTTGAAATGTTCACAAAAAAAACACTAACGTAAATAAGTTAACAAAAAACAAAAATAGCACCTAAATTAAATTATATCATAAAAAAAATATCAAATCCTTAATATAGAGCCCCGAATATAGAGTCTCTCATTGTGGGAGAGATGCCTTTAGAGCCCCAAATATTCCATCGGAGCTCTAAATGGGGCTCTATAAACCCTTTTTAGAGCCCCAACCATTGGGGATGGCCTAACAAAGAGACTTTTAACTTCTTATAAATTACAAAATTGCAATTAATTTTTTAAAACAAACCCAACCTCAAAACCTCATTAAAAAAACCCAAAATACTCAATAGGGTATCAAAGTAATTTAATAATCAAAATTAAATTCAATAGGGTCAGTTATCATTTTTTGGGTTTGTTTATAGAAATTAAATGATGTGAGGTTTATCTATATTATTAGTGCTAAAAATGGGTATATGATTAAATATCTCATCATTAATTTGGTATATATATGTTCTTCTCTTCTCTCCAAGACTAGTATTTGTCAATTTGGTAGTATATATAATTTAATTCAACGCAAACATGAAAAAGGAAAAAAACCCTATTCATGATTAAGAACATGGAAGACTATGTTTATAGTCTTCTTGAATTTGGTGCTTTGCTATTTCTAACTTTTTTGGGTTTTGTGGTACCAAATATATTTAGTAACATGTGCCGGGCCAATTCTTAAATTCTTCCAAGTGGGCTGGGCCAAATTCGTACTTAAAAATGCCTTATGAGCGGACACAAATAATCCTAAAATTGATGAAAAAATTTAACAAATTTGACAGTAGAAGACAAATTGAACACTTAAAAAGATGGGAGTTTCACTAAAACCCCCAAAATGGGGGCTGAAATTATAAAAAAACCCAACACCCAAAACACTTTATAAACACACCCAAAACCCATCATTACACACACTCAAAACCCATTTATAAACACACCCAAAAAATATACAATTGTTGATTTTGGGTGTGTTTCTATGTTTAAATAGTGTTTGAGTTTTTTTATAAATACATGTCTAGGATTGAGTTTATTTATAAATTTGTATAAAAGGATTCGTGGCCTCATAACTAAATTAGGATTCATGACCAGACCAAAACAAAAACAATAAGATTATTGAAGCAAAATAGTAAGAATCACACAAATTCAGAAGGCATTGGCATTGGAAACATGCAAATAGCATGACAACAAACGCGTCACACACTGAAACCCCACCTACCCACGTGGGCACCTTGTGTTACGCGTGCATGAGGAGAAAAGGCCAATCTGGAGAAAGCATCTTGTCCAAAAAAAAATATATATGGAGAAAGCATCAGAAATCTTGCTCACTCAATCTTGACAAGAAAAGTATCTACAGTTGACATGATGGACATGGACGGTTAATTACTTAATTATATATAATTTTTTAAGAGTGCTGCTATACGAATCCTAAAATTAACTGAGTACACCCTACTATCAAACTATTTATTGAATTACAAATTTACCCTAATATAAAATGACCAAAAAGGATATATTGAATTGTGAAACAAAAATAATTTTAATAAGTACACCCTATTCATCATATTCAACCGTAATCAAACGCAAATAAACTTTCGTGTTGTTTGGTGCCAGTAAAAGGATTTGTTAGCTTGTTTCAGCAAAGTGAATCATGGGGGTTATCTTGTTTCAAGTACCACCTAATGAGCTATATAGATTTTCTCATCGAATTCCTTCGTTCAAGATTACTAGTGCTTAACAATGATGGCCTTCCATGTCCACCTCAAGAACTATAACTGTATTTTGGTTTGAAGACTGACGCTGGCTTATTGGGGTCACTTCTTTGATTATGTTTCTCTCTAAATCAATTTGGCCCTCTCTTCTTTTCACTGGTTGGAGTTGTAGCCCCATTTTCTTTCCAATTGTTTATCTTGCCTTTCCATTTTGGTATTTGCTTATCATCAGATGTATCTCCTCATTGGCTTGCTGCCTTTTATGAAATCACATCTACCTTCGACCAAAAACAAAGAAACAAAAGATGATTGGTGATGAAAGATATGGTGTTCCGCTGAAAATAGAAGTAAGATGATGAAGCTTTGAATTGAGGAGCTAGTAAATCTACAGCAACTTACGAAATTAAAGATTTGATGCAAACTCAAAATCTGAAAAGAGAGCATGAATTCATGTAAAAGAGAAATCTTGTTTAGGATTGGTATTAGGGTGTTGTGTGATAGATTGTATTAGGGTGTTGTGTGATAGATTGTATTAGGGTGTATCAGGGATATTTTTTGTAGTTAAATAGGGTGTACTTAGTTAATTTTACATTTTGATTAAAATATTAGGGTGTTCTTAGATCATATGGTGTACTCATTTAATTTTAGGGTTCGTTTAGCAGTACTCTTTTTTAATAATATATAAATTTTACGTAAATATGCAATAATAATACAATAATGCTACGAGCACCAACTTGTTTACTAACTTTTTGATATCAATACATATGCCACATCACATGACATGGCAACCATGTTTTTGTTTTATGGGTCTAAAAGATGGAATTTCATAACAAGCAGGCAAAAAGCCGAGAGAAATACAAAGCCGATAAACAGAAAGGCACAAACTTACAACAAGAGGAGTACAGTAGATCGAGGGGAAGAGGGGATCTAAATTCTTTTTGTTAGAGCATCCACAGTGGGGGAGTGTAAATTCGGGGGTGTAAAGCCACTTTTACATCCCCTTTACACCTCCGGGGGGTGTAAATATGTTTTTTGCTCCAGTGGGGGGTGTAAATTCGGGGGTGTAGCCGTAGGTCCCAGCCTTTTATGTTGACTTTCTTCATTTTTGTTCTCTTTTCTCGGGTGGGTCCCGCCTGCAAGGGATGTAAAAATGGATGTAAATATACAATTTATTTTACATCCCCATGATGGTGATGTATATTTACATACATTTACATCTCACCATTGGAGACGATTCCGATGACTCGGGGTGTATATTTAACATACACCCCCATATACACCCCCCACTGTGGATGCTCTTACTCTAACATATCATGTGCCACATGTATTGGTATCAAAATGTTGACAAATAAATTGATGCCGGAGCGTTATTGACATAAAAAGCATAAGTTTCCAAACATAGGGACGTGGTGTTGAAAACATTTGTGAGACTAGAACTGTTTCGTTTGATAAGTGTCGACAAAAAAGCCGTTGGATTCCCTCCACACATTCCCCGGTCACCTTATCTCCTCATATGATTTTTCTCTCTGCTTTCCCTCCAAACATCCAAAAAAGAAAAAAAAAATGAACCTAAATTCAGATTACCAAAAATCAGATAACCCAAAATCTTGGTCTCCATTTACTGCTCTGCTCATTCTGTAAACAGAGGATTAGTGGCCATTTTCTCACTTCCAATGGCTACCAAATTAGCCTTCACCTTAACATCTCCAACCCCTTTTAATCCCTCTAGTCAGAGACCCTTTGTTTCTGTTTCTTCTCCCTCCACAAGGGTTGAGTCTTTTCAGTTCAGAGGGAGGCAGCTATGTCTCCGGCGCCGGCTTCTGGTTCTTCCCTCTAAGGCTACTGCTGACCAACGACAAGGTTAGGATCATCTGTCAATTTGAGGCTTTTTTATTATTATTTTTTAATTTTATACAAGCGATATTTCGGGATGGGGAATCAAACCTAGAACTTCGGGTGCATGGGTAAATGATCTTAACCACTTGACCTACGAGTCCCTTGCGTCCATTTGAGGCTTTGAAATTGGTGTTTGGTGCTTGTTGGTTTAAGTTTTGTGTAATTATTGAATGAAATTAATAAAAAAAATTTTATGAGAATGAAATTGATTGAGCATTGTGTATGATGATTGAAATTAACTAATTAAGTAATCAATTTCAAGTTCACTGCTATATCATTGTGTTATGAATTGAACACTTTGCTTACTATAAAGGGTGTGCTTAGTTAATAGATAATATTGTAAATGGGTTCGTTCTTATATCTCCCAAGTCATGAAAGAATATGTAACAAAACAAAATGATCAACTTAGATTTTTTTCTTAATGTAGTGCAAAAGAAAATTAGGGACTTGTTCATGATTCAGTTTTAAATTTTTTCTTACTTGCACGGACAAGTGTCGCCATGTGAAATTTACTCCATAATGTGGAATAGGTTTTTTTTTCCCTCTTTGCAATATATACCACATTTACTGATCACATTTCTTATCAATATGGGGATCATCTACATAATTTGTTTTCTACCTCCATGTCACCTTTGTAGAAAGCAATGTAGTCAATGTTCACAAATAAGTTTATCGTGCTTAAATTTAAACTTCTTGCTTGGTTTTCCTTTGAAATTTCTCGAGTCAATTCCAATGTCTTTGTTTCAGACAAGGTTGAAGACGAGGAAGTTTTTGATGGCAAGATCCTGCAATATTGTAGCATAGACAAGAAAGGGAAGAAGTCCTTGGGTGAACTTGAACAAGACTTTCTTCAAGCTCTACAAGTAATTCTACACTGCATTTCAATGCTTTATATTGCTGTAGTGTTTTCTTTTAGACACATTATGATTCTATGGACAAAGAGATACAAGAAAATACTAAATCTGGATCTCGGTCGCCTTGAGCAACTAATGTAGGCAAAAAGTGCAATGGCTCCATCAGTTACCTTGTTCTAGAAGTTATCTATCTGTGTTCAAGATACTGACTATTTTTCTTCTTCTTCTTCTTCTTCTTCTTTTTCATTTTAAAGTCATTCTATTACGATGGTAAAGCTATTATGTCAAATGAGGAATTTGATAATCTCAAGGAAGAACTAATGTGGGAAGGCAGCAGCGTTGTCATGCTAAGTATGGACCCCTTCTTTTGTTTTTGAATGGGACTTGATATCTCAATATCTTGAATTTCATATGTTCATATTTTTTTAAGATTTAAATTCAGTTTCTCTTGTTTTATTTTACCATGCAGGCTCTGATGAACAGAAGTTTTTGGAAGCTTCAATGGCCTATGTGTCTGGGAACCCAATTCTGACAGACAAAGAGTATGATAAACTGAAGATGAGGCTAAAGGTTTGTTTTTGTTGGTTGGTTTCATGTCTTCAATGGCCTCTCCATATGTATGCTTTAGCTCACTCTTTTATTTTGCAGACGGAAGGGAGTGATATTGTAGTTGAGGGTCCCAGATGCAGTCTCCGTACCAGAAAGGTGTGAAATGCTCAGTTTTCTTGCTCTTTCTCTGTGTATCCATTGTATGCATTTACCCCTGTATACCCTTGGCCTTGTTTTGTGGCTCCACTTGGACTGAATCGGAGCTGAGTCAAAGCCAGTTCTTATAAGTCCCAGCTCTCTAGACGGGACTTGTACACTGATTAACTTGCTTGCACAAATGAAGGCGTAAATGGCCAACAGGGCTGTGCTTGTACTGATGCATTTGCTTCCAACAGGTTTATAGTGACCTGACTGTTGACTATTTGAAGATGCTCCTGCTGAATGTCCCAGCGACTGTTGTTGGCAAAACAGGGCTGTGCTTGTACTGATGAATTTGCTTCCAACAGGTTTATAGTGACCTGACTGTTGACTATTTGAAGATGCTCCTGCTGAATGTCCCAGCGACTGTTGTTGCCCTAGCAGCGTAAGTTATATGATCATATCATCAAATGTAGGCTTAAAACTCACAATCCCATAGCTGCAGCTTTAATGCATGTGAACCTAAAAGAGTTTGTTTTGAGAATGCTTTGTTATTCTGCTTCACAGCTCTTCTTTGAGTGAAGGGATATATTCTTATAACAAGTTGGGCTATTCTATATAATACTGCATCATTTTTCTTGTTTTCATTTTAATCAACTTCCTCGTGAAAATGATTAGAAAGTAGAAACTGATTTTTATTTTTTGACTCTGTTCAAACTTAAAAATTATGCCTTTCCTATTTTTTATTTATTGAAACTCTGGTGAACTTTCCTTGTGTCCTGATCTGCTAGGTTCTTCTTCCTGGATGATGTAACTGGGTTCGAAATCACATATCTTTTGGAGGTAAGCATTCACCATATCCAGAGTTCCTTGTTCTAATTTCACACATATTTTGGGATAGCTAAAAGTCATTGTTTTTTGGATGTGCTCTCTTTTAACACAACCTTTCATAAATTCTTGGGCTGCAGCTGCCAGAGCCATACAGCTTCATTTTCACATGGTTTGCCGCTGTTCCAGTCATAGTTTATTTAGCTCAGGCACTCACCAAACTGATTGTGAAGGATGTTCTGATCTTAAAGGTACAGAGAATTTGTGTTGTCAAATGTTAGTTCTTAACTTCTTATAAGTTATATGAAAATATTATGTATCTGATGTTGTTGATGCTATATTGCTATTAACATGTAATATTTATTTTATAGGGCCCTTGTCCAAACTGTGGTACAGAGAATGTGTCCTTCTTTGGGACCATACTATCCATTTCAAACGGCGGTGCTACCAACACCATTAAATGCTCAAAGTGAGTAAACAGCTAACCATTGATTCTATGAGCAATGCTCGGGTCAGTCACCCACTATCAAATGGACGACTCTCAGCCGTTGATGCACGTGGAACCTACATTGCATCAGTGACTGAGAGCCGGCCACTTGCACGTGGACAACTGATCTTAGGAAAATCTTTGATTCTAGTATCCACGTTTCCTTGTTTTTGTTCCCTTTAGTTTTAACTGTTATGAGTAATATTTGACTGCAGCTGTGAAACTCCGTTGGTTTATGATTCAAACACGCGTTTGATTACATTGCCAGAAGGAAGCAATACTTGATTAGAATTTGGAACTTGGGAGTACGTATATTATCTACCCAACTCAATTATGTAGCATAAAAAGTAATGCATAAATCAGCACTTGCATTGTGTAAGTGGTTTCTTGTGCTGAATAATATACTCGAACAGTAGTTTTTTGTTCTTCTTTGGATCTTCGAAAATCTCAGCAGTTGATTGTGAATATGAATACAAGGAGAGAAGATATCATGATCAGATAGTTCAGCTTTCACGCTTATCGTGCGATCTTAAATTCCAAATTTTGACAATAACTCAGTTGTGAAGCATTTTCTTCTCTCTATATTTGGGTTGTCTACAAATAACCCTCTCTGGACTGAAATGCGTATACTAAGCCCCACAGAGTTGATCGCAATTACTTACTTAGTAACTTTTGTACAAATTATGGTCCACAGGACCACAGCTCTTTGTACATTATGGCCGTTATGCAGACTGCATAACTAAAGCTTCATCGACAAGGGGCCTATAACTCAACTGGTTAACTACATCTACTCATGCACCTTCGATTCCCCCTCCTTCCTAATATCACTTGTATTAAAAATAAAATAAAATCTTAATCATGCCTGCCTATTGCCAGTAATAAATACTTAAAAAATTGTCCATCTAATATATGATAGTGTTTTCTCATGTACCAAGAACTGAAAAACCAATAGTACTAAGATTACAAGAATACTTCCTGAAGCGTTTCAACATCCATACGACATACAGAACGGCCTCCACAAGACGGTTGAGTAAAGGCAGATAAAGCATATTAATACATCCACAATAATGGGCAACAAATCAACTCTAAAGGTGGAAAAACATGAGACAGGCTCGCTCCTTCCTACTCAATCCATCTGAGATGCTGCCATTGTAAAAACATCACAGCTGATGCAGCAACCACCATCTTCTCTATAGGACCGCCACATCTAAATAATCCCCAATCTACATCATTGAACGGAAAGAAGTGAGAACACCCATCGTTCCCTTTTTGGTTGAACACAATAAATTCTGATATAAAATTTCACTTTACCTGGAAGTTAAAATCATTCAATGCCTTGTTCTCATCCGGATTTCTACCATTTCCATAAGAATGTGTCATCCCAACCTTTAGAAATTAGAGAAACACACAATTTTTAAAAATCACAAATTAAATTAATGTGCATAAGTACACGAGTGGTGTATCTATGATGATGTATAGATCATAATATACACGGCTCAACTGCATCTGTACCTAAGCTATATTGTTTCCAACCTACCTATACTCTGTATCAATATCATCCTGTATACACGCCCATCGAATATGCCACATGTGATAGAAAACAAATTTAAAAGAGGTGAAAAGATACATATGAAATTCACTTTTTTCTTTTGATAGGACATAAGCTTTTCACATTAATGAGCATAAGTTTCAGTTGAAGCAGAAAAGAAGATTCATTTATCTGTAAAGTGGAGCATAAAGAAAGTCTTGATAGCTTGATTTGAAAACATAAAATGTATCATAATACATGCATATATCACCAAGTGAGAAGGTAGTAAGTACCGTTTTCACCACAAAATGACCGCGCCTGTCAGGGTATACAAAAGCAAAAGAAAGTTTTGCATTTCTTCTCCTAGCCTCTGGAGCAATCTCTTTGACCTGACAAAGAACTAGAATCATCTTTGGAGCAAGTAATATAAAATTATTCAACCAAATATGGCAAAGAGTATAGCATGGCATGACAATATAAAGAATGCACCACATACAAGATCAGTTAGCTCGCGAAGTGTCGCGTCTTTCCATGTATAAATTTGGACCTCATCTTTGGGTTCCTTGCCTCTGACTGCAAAATCCTCATTATTATGATGACTTCCAATCTGCAGAAAGATACGTTAAATGAAATTGTAAAATGCTAAATCGGAATATCATCAGTCATCAGCCAAACCATATGTCTCTTTCATTTCCTTTATATTAACATTGACTTCCCTCACTAACACTGCTGCTAAATTCTCGTACAACGTGAGTTTCTCCATACTTCAAAACCAAATTATTACTGCTTATGATGGTACAGGAAACCCAATGTAATTCTCTTTCCCCCTTCCAAATCTTATCTCAGAATCACCACCATAACTTTCTACCGAACTAATTTCAGAGCCTAGTTAGAGCAACCATGTTAAAGGCCAAGAGAGAGTGAGCCACTAATATATGTAGTTCAGAGTGGGGACTTCATAAGCACATTTGTAAGAACAAGTTTTCAATCGTTTCCCTTTCACTCTCTAACCCAAATGCTTTTCTAACACTACTCTGCAACAAAATCAACAATATCTACTTCCACAAAAAGACCTTAAGTCAAGTAAAGAATGAAGTTTTAAAAGGGTCATCTGATTTTGAATATAGAAAAAGAATTAGCACAAGAAGAAGCTGACTACTACCCAGTCATGACCAATATCCGAAACCCAATTTGACAACAATAAAATACTTAAAAACTAAAATAAATCAATAAAACACTAACTGGACTTGCACATACCTTAGTGAAAACCCGAAGCAACAAAGGGCAAGTCTGCACATAAACCAGCAAGAAAGTAAGTTGAAAACAAAATTTGAAAAACATAGAAACCCTAAAGAAGCAAACAGCAGAGCTTGAAAGGGAGGACCTTTTCACGGTCGACGGGCTCGAGGCGGGGAGGGGGCGGGGGCGGTGGACCCCTAGAGTGAGGAGGAGGAGGAGGGAGGGGTCTGCCGGGTGGACCTCGGGTCTGGGCTTGGTTCTGGGGACCCGGTCCGCCCATCTTGTCGTCTCTGTTTCTCCTCTCCATTGTTGCCTTCCCTGAGTTTTTGGTTCGAGAATGATTTCGGGTTTTCGGGTATGAATTTTGGGATTTTGGGTTGAGGTAGTAGAATTTGTACTGTACTGAGAAAACTACGGGTCATGGGCCTTTAGCCCAAAGGGTCCGAAAGAGCCCATGGAGTTGCCAATCACTCAATAAATATTATATAAACCCAAAACTGTTATTTGAGTTTTATGGTGAAATAACCCAGACATTTAAAACCTTTGTAGAAAATGACTCGTTTCTTCCAAAGTTAAGAAAACTATTCTTTGCGCCTAGTGGAAAAGAGCCTTGATTTGTAGATAAGAGGCCTTAGGTCTGAACTCTCATGACGTCTTAGTTGTATGTGTGTGTGAGATACTCTTCTCTCCTCTAATTTAGATTATCGCTTGTACTAAAAAAAACTATTCTTTGCAAAAGACTTGTAGTTCAAGTGAGAGTATTTTTACCCTTGTATTCATGGTCCTAAATTCGATTCCTCATCTTTTCAAATATCGCTTGTATAAAAAATAATTTTTTTTTTCTTCAGTTTTTCTATTTAAACTCCGCACTTCTCTTTATTCACCCCAATACTTAAATCATTAAATTATTAAGTTTTATCATTGTGTAAAAAGACAAAAAAGGTTATCCAACTTAATACTTAACCCTCGTACATCTATACCCAGATACCCCACCACTCTTCATATTGAGTTTTAGAAAAATACAAACTCCTCTACATCCTACTGCCAGATTACTTTTTTCTTTTAAAAACATAGAATGTTGAGGAGCCTACCTTTGTAAAAGTTACGTGGGAGCTGATGGAAAGGCTTGTTGATTGATTGGCTGTAATAATCTTGTTTTCTTCCTTTTGTTTAATATATCCGACTTTTCAGTTCATATGTCAACCCCAATAATGAAATTTAAGAGTTTAATGATTTAAGTATTGGAATGAACAAAAAAAAGTAAATCCGAAAAATGTGGGGTTTAAATAGAAAAACTCAAAAAAAAATATAATTTGAACTTTAAAACACACTTATTGTCCATTGCATTTGTTTCCCATTTGATTCATACAGTAGATATGTCGGCCCCAAGGGTGAAGTTGCCATATAGTTTTCGAATAATTTTAATGTTTCTCTTTATCTATTTAATTAAAAGTGTGGGGTTTAAATAGAAAAACTTTTTTATTTTTTATTTTTTTTGCTGGTTGTGTATTTGAGGGTAGTTTGGGAAAATAGTGAGGTTTTCTTAGAAATTGTGAAAATTTAAATTAGAAGTTGGGGTAAACTTAGAATATGGAATGAACAAAGAGAAGTGCGGGGTTCAAATAGAAAAAAATAAATACTTTTTACTCTCGTCAACTTGAAAAAATTAGGATGTTTCTAATCTAAAATTGAATTTTAGTGAAAATTGAGAGACCAAAATAGTAGTACAACCACTTAAAATTCCTTAACTAGATTATAATTAATTGTGTTTGTGTCTAGATAACCTCCCCAAATTAACATATAATCTATAATATTAAAAGTCAAATCAGTATTTGTCATTTGTGCATAGCATTCAACTGATTAAATGTGATATATGATTTTTAAAACTTTGACTTAAAAAACATTTGAGAAAAAAGGACACTAATGTAGCCAAACACAATGTATCCTTTTTCATACAATTGGGCACTAACTTAAAATTCCATCAACAAACTCAAATACCCCCCAAGAGAATAAGAATTTGAAATATATTATAAAAAATAATGTAATATTCGTTACATAATGTTTAATTATTTATCAACGTTCTAAAATGCAAATAACAATACCTGCCAGCACGTTTGGCACCATAAAATATTTCATAAATTGAAGCCCTCAAAATATATTCATTGCGTGAGCAATTAAAAAAAAAACTCTTGCTTTGACTAACTGAAGGGCATAACCTTCGTTGGGCCACGAAGTCGTTTCTAGCTACCTCAGTGTCATGTAGTTGAACATTATATAAGGCATACAATACGTACCAAAGGGCATTAAACTTGGTACTTTTTATCCTAAAGGGTCTCAAAGAAACCTCTACCAACACAGCCATGGCTTCTTTCCTTCCTTCATGGAGCTTTAGCTTCCTCTTCACATCATGGATGCTGGTAGCCCTAAGCAGAACGGTGGTTGCAAAGGTCGTTTACCGACCTAGCCCGTGGCACCTTGCCCATGCTACTTTTTACGGTGACGAGACTGCCTCCGATACCATGGGTATGTATGCTCTTTACTTACTAAAATGATCTCTTGTCAGACTCTAACTACGTTACCATTATTGGTGATGTCACATAAGTAGTTTATGCTTTAATTATTACAAAATCCTTGATGTTAATTTTTTTTTTTCTGGGGGGTTTTAGGTGGAGCTTGTGGGTATGGAAACTTGTTCGTTAATGGGTATGGCACAGACACAGCAGCATTGAGCTCGACACTATTCAACAATGGATATGCTTGTGGAACTTGTTACCAGATAAAATGTTATGGGGCTAGTGCATGCTTTAGAAATGTTCAATTCACCACGGTGACCGCTACCAACCTTTGTCCACCAAACTGGTCCCAAGACTCCAACGCCGGAGGCTGGTGCAACCCGCCTCGGACCCATTTTGATATGTCCAAGCCCGCTTTCATGAAAATTGCTCAGTGGAAGGCTGGCATTGTCCCAGTCATGTACCGCAGGTACAACATAAGCCCTTAAAGCTTCATAATACATTTCATTGATGTAATATTGTCTTTTTTATCTCTCTTGTTACGTGAGTTAGTATACACAAAGATTTCAAACATATGGTTATAAGAGCATGTTATAAATCAATTTTTCTCATGGAGTTCTCAATCATCTATGCTATTTCCTTGCAGAGTACCATGCATAAGGGCCGGGGGGCTTCGATTCTCTTTCCAGGGAAATGGGTACTGGTTGTTGGTGTATGTGATGAATGTAGCAGGAGGGGGTGACATTGCAAACATGTGGGTGAAGGGAAGCAGATCAGGGTGGATCCAAATGAGCCATAACTGGGGAGCTTCATACCAGGCCTTTGCAACCTTGGGAGGCCAAGCTCTCTCTTTCAGGATCACTTCCTACACATCCAAGGAGACTATAATAGCATGGAATGTTGCTCCTTCAAACTGGAATGTGGGTTTGACTTACAATGCAAATGTGAACTTCCATTGATGCCCAACAAGCAGATCATGAGAGATATTTATGCCATCTATGACTCTTTTTTGTTTTCTTAATTTCTTACTTTTTATGAAGCCCGCAAGGCCTTTCTCTGTTGCTTTGGCTTGGCAAATTTTCCCTTTCTTTTTTTATTTTATTTTAAAATTTTTATGCAGGGCAAATTTTCCTCTGGTTAATTTGCATCTTATATATATCCTTACTAAAGTGATTTCTACTCACTAAAATGAGAGCAGAATGTTCACATGCTAAGAGTACAACTGCTTGTTTTCATTATTTGGTTGAAAAACAAGTTCTCTGCCTCTGCAAATATCATCTATATAATAATTTGAAAAGTGCTTTTGTCCCAAGAATATATTTGAAAAGCATTTCAGAGCCATGACAAAGTTTACGTGTGGCTTTTCTTGTATCAAAGGATGAAAAGTCTTATGTTTCATCAAACACTTTATGTTGTTATCCTGCAAAAACAAAAACCAAATTGTCAAAGACTCTCTGGTTTTCAATCCTGTGATCTAACAGTTGATAAAACAAACATAATAATTCATTCTAAAGATTCAATGCCATATTGGGAAGTCATCAAAGAAGAGAAGAAATACGTTTGCAATCCTAAATCTCAAATTGGGTCATAAAATTAGAAACAGAGAAACCACTCAAGTATAATTGCATCACCCAAAACACCCACAAGACCATGATCATTGCTACCATGTCATGTTTTTTTAATTTGTTTGATCCCATGTGAATTGTGGTCCCGTTAGAGGGGGAATCAAATGGAATGCCATGCTTGCTAAAACGTGACCCCCACAAAGTGGTTAAAAGTGGGGAACATGTTATCAAATCAAACGAACAATTAGGAGCAATATTATGCCCTCCCAAGGCAAAAACATTTCTTGTAACGGGAAAAGGTATCCCACGTGTAATTGTGTTATTAGTTGAGGACTGTTGCATGAAAGTCTCTCTCCTTCCACATCGGCTAATAATACTATGTCACGTGAAAGTGTTATCACGAGTGTTATAGCGTTATTAGCCGGAGATAGCAAACTAATGCTATCTCCGTTTCATGAAAGTCTTTCTCCCCAAAAAGGGCCTCTCAATTCATTGCCTAAGCACGCCAAGCTTCCCTTTTTCTCTTCCTTTTTCCACAAAGTGTCATCATCACCAAGGCTTTAACATCATTTCTTCAACCTTCCCACCTCAATATTTTACTTTCTTTTTCTTGGGAGCCCAATTTTAGTTTCTAAAGGAAACAAACAAGCATGTATATTTTGCTGTTGTCCAAACTTGATTTTGTGAGGTCTTGCATTGACCAACCCTCCTACAGAAAACAGCAGGCAACCTTTTAGTTTTGGATAAAAAATGTCAAAACCTAACTTGTATTCTCTCCAAGGCCTATATAAAGGGAAACAAAGTAAGAACTTTCTTTTCCCTTTTACTTGCTTACCTTTTAATCCACCTCAGCTTTTTCTGAGCTATAAAGTCTTCAAACAGTGTGATAAGCTTAACTCTTTGCAACCTTGTACCTGTTTATATCCTCTGGAAAAAAAGAAACTCATTTAGATCTAGTTTTCATAGAATTCAAGCCATAGCCATTCTTTTAGTAAGCAAAACCATTGTACATTTATGATTTATTACCACCTTCATCCTTCAAAATCAAGCTCATTTTCTCACATGGGCTCTCTCTTCTCTCTCACATTGGTAATTCTCTCATGCATCTCCATAGCGTTAATAAAAACAGAAGCTCAGAAGATCAAGTCAGCTCGCCTACTCGACCTGCTCATCCGGGACTACACCTTCAAGGCCTATGACACACACTTCAGGACAGGAGTTCTACACGCTGTAAATTTACCAGCAAACTTCTCTGGCATCATAGTTGACACAGCAAGATTCAGATGTGGTAGTCTCCGAAGGTATGGTGCGCAGGTAAAAGAATTTCATCTAGACCTTGGTGTATCTGTGCATCCATGTGTTGAGAGGGTCATAATAGTTACACAAAACTTGGGTTACAATTGGTCTTCTATATATTATGCCAATTATGACTTATCTGGCTATCAGCTTGTTTCCCCTATACTAGGCCTCTTAGCTTATAATGCCGGTACTGATGTGAACTTCAGCAACCCTTTTGAGCTTGGAATTGAAGCTGCAGAAAAACCCATCAGGATAGACTTCAGAAATATCACAAGGGTGAACAACGAATCGGGTACAAGGCCATTATGTGCTAGTTTTGAAGGTCATGGCAAAGTGGCTTTAGCAAAGGAGGCTTCACCTTACATTTGTATTGCAAAAAGGCATGGCCATTTTGGGTTGGTCATTGAGAAGCCATCACCAGTGGAGTTGAACAAGAGCAAGAGAGTGAGCCCGTGGAAAGTGGCAGTAGGTAGCTCAGTTGGATCTGCTTTAGGTGTTTTTCTCTTGGGGCTGCTTCTGGTGGCAATGTTTGTGAGGGTGAAGAAGAGGTCAAGGATGGAGGAAATGGAGAGAAGGGCTTATGAAGAGGAAGCTTTGCAGGTATCAATGGTTGGACATGTGAGAGCTCCTACCGCATCGGGCACTCGAACAACGCCAACACTTGAGCATGAGTACATACCTCCTCCTCATTGAGTTGCTTTCATTTTTGTTCATACTTATTCTTTTTGTAACATTAGCTGAAATGAAAAGGTATTCAATGTTTATTTTGAGATAAATTTGAATTTAACCAATTTTTACAAAGGTTCAATTGAGTGGAACTAGGGAATTCTACTTTCTGAGCTGGGGCAATCCCTTGTTCTTTTTTTTTACCTTAAAATGTATATTTAACTGGGAAAAATATAGCATATTTCAACCTGAAAATAAAGTTGCAATTTTTCATCAAATATTTTTTTTTTTTCAGTTTCAATGGCACACCATAAGTATATTGGCCAACAAGAACAGAGAATCTGGTAAACATGGGAAAGCTACACTCTCTAAGAAATTCCGAAATCTGGCTGAAAAAAGGTCTTCAATCTGGACTTGTGCAGATTAAGGTAAGAGAACAGAGAACACACAAAATTTCATTCAGATATGGAAATATAATGCAGAATTTTCTGAAATTTTATTGTGATGCTGCTGGTGGTACTCCTATCCCACAGGAAAAAAAAAGTAGCAAAGCTTTGGATCTCCGCTTGGATCAGATGCATGCAACCTTTAGAAAAAGAGTAGTTTGATTTCTAGTCACTTGTGAGATAAAGGCAAAGTCATCCCTCTTCCCTTAACACAATGATTCTCACCTTTACCTTTCTTTATTGTGTCAAAGGTAATTCCATTGATGCTTCAAATTTCAAAACGCTCTTAACCCACCATTTACATTGAAATTGTCGGTGAAACAATGCTATAGGCCTGCAATGAATTTATTACCTATTTTATGTGATAAGTTTTGAAGAGCATACATACATATGAGTTCTACTACTTTCAAGTGAAGAACAACAATTGGGCAGTAATCGTAACCTTATAAGTAGACCTGACAACATTTCGTGTTGTGTGAAATTATCTTCAACATGACCTCTCCGGTTAACTTATCATGTCTAAAGTTATGAACTCAAATCCATTTAAAAAATTTGCGTGTCATCATGTCATGATTCACCCGTTTACCCATTTTGCTTTATTTTTTCAACAGAACTCCAAAATATAAGAAAATTACCATTTTATATCAAGTAATAGTATAACATAAAGAAAGCATCTTACAATAAGATAGAAACTTATGTCAAACGCATTACATACAAATGTTGAACCAAAGTTCCAAAAACGATACATAAGAAAGAAATAAATAAATTATAGGCTAAGAGATTTTTCACAAAACATAAGCATATTGAATAAAGATAACATGTCACTATCGTGTCTCGCCAATAAACAATAATCTGACCTATTAATAATCGTGTTATTATTGTTCTATCTGTTATGGGAGAAATCTCAACCCAATTAATATGGCTTGACCCAAACACTTAATTTTACGTACTTCTTCGTATCGTGTTTTCTTGTGTTCATAATTTTGTTAGGTCTAATTATAAGAATGCATTTGAATATATTAGTAATGATCGGTCATCAAGAGATTGTCACTACGCCTGAAAGCTTGTATTTCAAATGCTGCGCGAGCATCCCTAAGTAAACTAAACATTACTCAATACTTTTAAGATTAAGGCTAGTTGAATATGGTACTGTGCTCGCGCTCTTGCATCCGTGATTGAATCCACCTACCTATAAATTCTAATAGTTCACTTTGTAAAAACAGAAAAAGGAAAGATGGACGAGTTAGTGAGAAGGGGCAATCTCCTTATTAGATCAGAATTCCAATAAGATCTCAAGATAACAACTCTTAATTGTAAGCACATGCAACACCTCTTGAGATTTTGAGAAGTTTCTCTTCCGGAAAGTATAATATGATATAAAAGTTCTAAGCTGTCTTTTTTAATCATGTCCTAGCTGTTCTTTTTTTTGCTCGAAATGATATCCTAGCTGTTTTCTTTCTGTAACATATGCCATATTACCCTTTTATGATTTATATTTTACATGCATGCATCTTCACGCAACCAACATTCCTTATAAACAATTAACTTTACCAATAAATTGTAGATAACTTTATTTCATCAACAAATTCATACCATTTCCTATTAAAGTAAATTTTCCTTTAAGCGAGCATGGCTTGACTCCTTAAAATTGAGGATGAGCTCCTCCTTAAAACCAATAGAGTTTTGACACCCGTTAAATTCCAGCATGAGCTCATTTATTGTAAGAAAAAAGAAAATTACAAAAATTTGACACTTTTCGCAACAACATTTATTGTAAGAATGAGCTCCTCCTCAATTTTAAAAAGTCAAAAAAAAAAAAAAAGCCCTTTTTCCATAACAAAATTGAATATATTATAACCCAAATCCTAAAAACCCACTCCAGTACTTAAATCCAGCATGCCTTATGTTTTTTTTATAATGGAAATCCACATGCATCCCCTTGATTTTAAAGCAGACATGATCCTAGCATAATAACTACACAAGAAAACCTTTCACCACCACATATATAAACTTACAGGCAAAACTTGGTATATTGTTATTCTATAGCAAAATTTTTGTACACCAAGTCCCAATTTATTATTATTTTGAAACTTGGTAAAGAAATAAAAGGGAAACTGAATCCCCCAGTTTTGGTAGGTTTCTATAAATCTTCCTGGAGAAAAAAGGAAAAAGAGTAAGTTGTTTAAAGTGTGAAAGCCTAAAGCTCCAGCCTTTAACTGTTTACCCAAAGCCCCTTACCACAATATAACCCCCTTATGATTTTCCCGGGATAATTAACTACTTTCTTACCTAGTTTTCCCGGGAAAATTACTAGTGAAGTCTCTAGCCATCAAACGCATCAACCCCCTTCCTCTCTTTCTCTCTCTATCTCCATCGCCATCCCAAACCATTCTCTCTCTCTCTCTCTCTCTCTCTCTCTCTCTCTCTC